GTAGCTGGGACTAAAGGTACATGCCACCATGCCTGGCTAACTTTTTGTATTTTTCTGTAGAGATGGGGTTTTGGCATGTTGCCAGGCTGGGCTCAAGCAATCCTCCCACCTTGACCTCCCAAAGTACTGGGATTACAGGTGTGAGCCACCATGGCCCACCCCCATCCTCTTCTCAGAGGAACTTAGAACACCTCAGTTCCACTCACAGACACCATCTTGACTTTATGCCATTGCAGGTACATATATTGATTGCATCCTTGTTTTTCTGTGCATGAGTGACATCCAGCGACTGTCAGTTTCAGTTTACTCACGCACTTCCTGCTTCCTCTCATGCTTTATCCATTTCAGACGTTCTGTGATCACTTTCATGATGCTTTGAGATCATTTCTTCAGAACTGAGGTGAGAGTGTGCCGGGGGCAAATTCTCTCTTTTATCATTTAAAAACTTTATTTATTTAGCCTTTTTCGTATAAACCATTTTTTGCTAGGCCTAATATTCAAGGCTGAGCATGGCTTCCCCTGAGAATAGGCACACTACTGCTCTACCGTGACGAGCTCCCGTGACTCCTTTGAAGGTTCTGTCTTCCCGCTCGAATTGCTTCTGAGGTTTTTGTCTCTGGCATTCTGCAATTTCACTATTATGCTTCTCAGTACATAATCTTTTAAAGCCTATAGACTAAATGACTGCCTGTGAGAGCTGTCCTCCAAGATGGCATCCGATGATTCTCACCTCCTGGTATTCATGCCCTTGTGTCATCCCTTCTCACATTAAATAGGATCACCAGTGTATCCAAAAAGGATACTGTAGAAATAGGCAAGTGTGACTTCCTAGGTTGTTATGGAAGTCATTGCGGCTTCCAGCTCACTCTCTCTCCAAGTGCTCTCTCTCTCTCCAAGCACTCACTCTGGGGGAAGCCAGCCACCGTACTGAGGATACTGAAGCTGTCCTATGGGGAGATGCACGTGGTGAGGAGCTGAGCCTCCTGCCAGCCCCTATCATGGACTCGCCAGTCACGTGAGTGAGCTGCCGTGGAAGCAGTCTCCAGCCTTCCTCAAACTTTGAGATGACTGAAGTGTTGGCTGCTATCTCAACTATAAGCTCCCAAGAGATCTCAAACCAAAGCCACAGCTAAGCAGCTCCCAAATTTCTAACCTACAGAAACTAAGATAAAAATAGTTACTGTTTTAAGTTGCTAAGCTCTGGGGAAATTTGTCATGCAGCAATGGATAACTAATACATGGCCAAAGGCTGGCTATGGTGGCTCATGCCTGCGATCCCAGCTCTTTGGAAGGCCAGGAGTTAGAGACCAGCCGAGGTAACATAGTGAGACCCTGTCTCTAATCTTTTTTAAAAAGTAAACTAGTAATACATTTCCAGAATCACCATATACATTTAAAATGAAATTTTCAAGATTCATGAAGTCTGTTTTTTTAAAAAACACTGAATTGTTTTTCAGAAGCCTGACACGTTTAAAATGTTAAATCTTGCTGGGCGCAAAGGCTCATGCCTGTAATCTTAACACTTTGGAACACATGGAAGATCACATGAGCCCAGTTCAAGACCAAACCAGGCAACATAGTAAGACTCCGTCTCTACAAAAAATTTTTAAAAATTAGCTAGGCATGGTGGCACGCCACTGTGGTCCCAGCAACTTGGGAGGCTGAGGTGGGAGGATAGCTTGAGTCCAGGAGGTCCAGGCTGTAGTGAGCTGATATTAGAGAAGCAGGAGTCTAGGAGAGCCAGGATAACGTCACTTTATGTTCAACTCCATCTTGAGGCTAATAGAGCACATTCCTTGCAGGTCACAACCATGGCCCTAAGATGTTTACAGCTAAGGAAGCAGCTTGGTAATGCCTACAAGGACAAACTCCTATAAAAGGAAGTTTAGATGTCCCAATACCCACAATAATATATACTTTCAAGATAATTATAGTTATGCTTTAATGTACTTGCACACTAAAATGTCAAATCCTTTTTAAATCAATAGAATAATAAATCATTATGCTGTCAGCTCACTCACACCTAGGCACAGCTTAGTTTAGTCTTTACATAGATAAAACCTCGATTAAAGAAAAACTTAAAGCAGGTCTGTTCCTCTGCTTGCTTGTTGAGGATGCCCTGCTCTGCAATGGAGCGGCTTTTGATAAATAATCTCTTCTCACTGCACTCTGCAGCTCGCCTCAAATTCTTTCCTGCATGAGATCCAAAAACCCTCTTGGGGTCTGGATGGAGACCCCTTTTCCTGTAACGCTGTGATCATGCCACTGTACTCCAGCCTGGTGACAGAGCAAGACCCTGTCTCAAAAACACACCTGTGAAATCTGCCCATCCAATATGATAAAAAAATTTCCATGAGGAGCTCTACATGCTATTCAGTAACATTTTAAAGTGTTCTTCATAAAGGAATTGAAAAATAACAGGTTTATTTCTAAGAACTTCATGGCTCCTGTTGCTAAATTGAATGGTATCCTTTGTTTCCATTCCATTTTCTAGTTGTTTTTACTATGTTGAAAAGTTGTGAATGGTGATCATATATCCAAACTCCCTCTTTTATCCATACTCATGTTTCTTAAATTGGATTTTCCAAGTAGGTAACATATTAGCTGCAAATAGTGATTTTCATCTTTTTAGATATTTATACAACATCTCATTTTCTTGATTTATTGTACGGGCTTCGATTTCCAGAATACTGTTTACTTTTTTGAGACGGAGTCTCCCTCTGTCGTCCAGGCTGGAGTGCAGTGGTGGAATCTCGGCTCACTGCAACCTCCAACTCCCGGGTTCAAGCAATTCTCCTGCCTCAGCCTCCCAAGTAGCTGGGATTAGAGGCACCCACCACCATGCCCAGCTCATTTTTGTATATTTAGTAGAGACAGGGTTTCGCCACATTGGCCAGGATAGTCTCCAACTCCTGACCTCAGGTGATCCGTCCACCTTGGCCTCCCAAAGTGCTGGGATTACAGGCGTGAGCCACTGCACCTGGCGATTTTTTTTTAACGTCACAGTGGTATCATGCATCCATCTGCTTGCAGCTAAAATACTTCCACTGGTGGTCACTGCAAGCTCTTGAGAGCTCCCCTCCGTCAGGCTACAGAGATGTCCATCTCTTCCCACCTTATCCGGAACCTACAGGTTTCTATACTTCTTTTGTTCTTAAGGAAAGATACTGGAATTTATTAGTATTACTTTTCAACATCTATTGAGATAATCACGTGATTTTCCACCGGTTGTTAATGAACTTTATTTATAGATTTCAAAATTTCTTTGTCCTTGGGTTACAATCTTCTTTTATTTACAATTTCATTTATTCCATATACATTCATTGAGCACCTACTATGTGTCAGGCGCTGTCCTAAGCACTGGGACAGAGCTGAGAAGAGACACGTGCCTGCTCTCCTGGCAGGTGGAAGTGTGCAGGACCCATCCTTATGGCTATGAAACTCAGCATTTCAGGTGCTGCTGGATTTGATCCAGTATTTACTCAGGATTTTTCAGTATATGCCCACAGGTAGACTGGCATATTGCCTTCTCTTTTTCCTTCTCTCCCTCTGCTCTCTTCTGGTACTGGTATTGGGTGATACCAGCTCCATACCAGAAGTGGCTCTGGGCAGGTGAAGCTTCACCAATGAGGATGACTGATTTCTTGTTTGGGAGTGCCCACCTGTAAAGTCATCTGGGCACCCACATTTTTTAGGGAAGATTCCCTGTCCCCAAACTAAAAACCTGCCAGTCAGCAGAGATGCACCCATGCCCCTTTCCATCCTTGGCCAACAAACTCATTCTTCCACTGCTCGCCTGCCCTCGGAGGCCTTCAGCCCACTCTCCTGCCTCCCAGCCTTGTCCTCAACCACCATAACCCATAGCCACCAGTCCATCTCTTGGAACTACAAATACAGCCTGGCTGCCCCTGCCCAAGAGCCACCGGGTCCCTGTGTCCTTGCAGGATGTGGGTCCAATACACACTCCTCCTGCACCCACATCCCTACCCCTTCAGACACAGTGCCCTGTCCCCAGCCCTGTGCAGGACAGAAGCCTCACAGCCCCTGGACCTCCTCTTGAGCAGCCCTCACTAGACAGGTGACCTATGTGTGTTTATAGTCTGGACTGCCTGTCATGAGATGTTTGCCTCCCAAAAGCCACTGCGTCTGCTGGTTTGGTCACCCCACTCCCCAGCACTTGACACCGTCATAGGGGTTTTGAAGGCATTTGGGCCTGAAGGACATGACTGAGAGGGTACAAAGGGACCTCAGTGGGCAGCCCTAGGAACACACGCAGACACGCCTGTGTGCATGGCTCAATGAGCTCCCCACACTGAACTGGCCGCATGACCAGCGCCAGCTGCCAAAGTATTGCCAGTGCCCAGGAGCCCCTGCACCCATCTTGCCACAGCCTAGAGCCATCTCTGAGCCTGGCTTTGAACCTTCCAAAAGTGGAACCACACAAGTGGGGTTCTGGCTTCCTCTGCCCTCAGAGAACATCCTGGGGCTCAACAGCTACATTCTATCAATCTCACTACTGGACCTGGCACAAGCCTGCAGCTCACTGTCCAGCAACAGAGAGACCAGGAGATGCTTCTGGTTTGAGGAGTCACAAGCAGAGCCTCTCCCAATATTTTGTTTTTGTCAAATCCTCCTGACAGCTGACCCACCTGGTTGGGAGGACGCCACCCCTGCTGGGGACCTTGCTTTCCCTCCCGCTTCTTGCCACCTTCAGCCTGGGGTGGGGGGCACTGGGCAGGGCTGAGGGAAGTGTGTTGCCTTGCCTCCTTCCTGGCCTTAGAAGAGCTCTCTACAGAGCCCAGCAGAGGCCAGTGGCCCACGGTTCTGGAGGCAAGAGGGATGCAGGTCCACCTTGGTGCTCGTCCAGGGCCATGGGGGAAGACAGCCTCCTGAGTTCAACCGTCTGTTTCTCATCAGTCCCCACTCAGCCCTCCCCTGAGGCTGCCCATCACGGCCAGCCTGGAGTTTCCAGGGAGAGCGGCCTCAGGTGGGCTGGGGACAGGAGGGTGGCCTTGGCCAGGGTTTCCTGCTTACCCAGTCCTGAGTCTGCAGTCCCTGCTGAGCGCTGCTCTGGGTACTGGGCTGGCCCCAGGATGCTGTCGGGCCCAGTGGGGGTCGCCTGTGCTCTTGGGAGAGGTGCGACTCCAGCTTCTTCCCCTGAGGGGACAGCTTCCTGCTGTCCATCTCTAGCCCTAGTAGGCTGCTTGTCCACACCTCTGAGATCTGGGGGAACGAGCAGCATGAGGTGGGGTGGAGCCCAAGGCCACCCGTGTGCCCACCAATACCTGAGTCCCTGGGGGCAGATGGTGGCAGTGTCAGGGTCTGCTAGGGTCACCTTCCAGTCAGTGGTCAGGCATCACCGACCCCCCTGGGGGGAGTGGATCCCCTCAGCTCCCGCCGCAGCTCTTCACACCAGCCTCCCAAACTGTCCTCTCTGCCCCGGCCGACTCCACCCCGGGAGCCTGGTCACCCTTCGGCAGCCTCCCGCACGGACGCCACGCCTCTGCCAGCCCCCTCAAACGGTTCCAGGGGCATCAGTCCTCAGCCAGCACTGCGGGCACGCTCTCAAGGAAAGGCCCAGAGCTCTTGCCACCGCCCTGCTCCCGACCCTGAGACCTCCCCTCTACACGGCCCAGGCCTCACCCCAGGCCCAGCCCCGAGCCCTTACGTGCCCGCCCTCTCCGAGGGGGTGGGTCTGCGCGGCCGAGGTCTGCGGAGAGACGGGGGAGGAGGGCTCAGGAGGACACAAGTTGGAGGCCGGGGGCACTCTGGGGTTCGGCGGGGGGCGGGGCACACGGGAACGGCGGTCAGAGGTCGGGGGTACGCGGGCGTCCGAAGATAGAGGGAGGAACAGGCCCGCCGCAGATGGAGGGGCCACAGGGGAACCGG